TTAATTCTACTGTCTATTATCTCAAAATTACCCGTACAATTAGCAGAAAAAAAAAACATGCCCAAATCACGATATTGCCACCACCAAATTTCACCATCGGTATGGTGTTCTTTGGTGCATTCTCCAAACACGAGTTCTTGAATTACGTCAAAATAGTTCAGTTTTTGATTCATCTGTCCATAAAACACTTTTCCAAAATGATTCAGGTTTATTCTCATGAAAAAATTTTCTCTATATTTCTTCAATAGTAGTGGATTTTTTTTTCTTGGAGAACGCGATCTTAGTTGACTTCTATGAATTCCATTACCTATTGTTCGATTCGTAACAATAATACAGGATGCTTTTAATTCTTCCTGTATTTCTCTCCGAGTAGTTATTGAATTTTATTGAATTTTGCGCTGAATCTTTCTCGTTGATCTGGAAGAAATCTTGCGTGGTTCGCCAGATCTGTTCTCGAGAGTTTTCGCCTTTTTATATTTAACAATAATGGAACTAATAGTTGTAAATGCAATATTCAGGATATCTGTTATTTTCCTTCCGACTTTGGCTTTCTTTTTGCCGTCCTTCCAATATTTGATGATCAATTATTTTCGTGAATTTGATACTTCCTTGCCCCCCCCCCATGATGATAATTATTGTGTATGATTTGTGTGCGGAGATAAGCTTATATAAGTAATAAATTGCGTAATCTTCTAGATTGTTCTGGTAATAAGATAATTGGAAGAATCTTGCAAAATCTTACAAAGAATTATGTAAATAAATGTAATTTTGATATTTAAAACATATTTAGTACGTATGTTTTTGATTCTCACCAGTCAAGATGCAGCCGCATCGAAACAAGAATGCATCTTTGTGGAGAGCAAGTTGTTTTTTTTTTGTAAAAATTATAAAAAATAATTATTGCTCTACACTTGGTATCGAGCTCACTTTTTGAATTAATGCTGGGACAGTTATAATTTTTATTATTTTCGTTCTCCTTACATTCGGAAGTATATATATATATATATTATATATATAATATCTATAATATCTATATATATAAATATATTTATATCTATATCTATATATTATATATATAATATATCTATCTATATAGTATATATAATATCTCTATATATAATATCTGTATAAATATATATATAATTTCTCTCTCTATATATATCTGTATATATAATCTCTGTCTTATACATATATATATATATATATATATATGTGTGTGTGTGTGTGTGTGATTGAATAAATTACAAATATTATGTCTGATTATTTTTGTCATAAATCTTTCATATTCACGAATGTTTTACTGTATATTATAATTGAATGAGGCAGGATATAATGTTTATAATTTACTACATAAGACATGCCTAAAAGAGAATTTACCGCCTAAATACGCACACACACACACACACATATATATATATATATATATATAATATTTATCTCTCTAAATTTATTATGCAAACTTATCATATAAACTTCACTAATTCAAATTTTATTTTGAAAAAAATTGTTAAATTTTAAACAATCGATGTAGGTGCCAAAACAAACCCTGAGTTAAAATTTTAGGTAGTATTAATACGTTTTATTGTAGTTATTGAAGTTATTTGGTGTCTTCTAAAAATTAACTTCTGTAAGTATTTAGCAAAACCAAATAATCACAATTTACTTCAATAAAATGTTAATAAAATCATCAACAATTGATCGACACCTAAAATAGAACAAATCACAAACACATATAACTCCTTAAATCCTTTACATTTTAATATAGTGACCCTTCTTCTCAATAACAACCAGTAATCTATTACCCATTGATTTTGTTATTTTATTTTATTTTTATTTTTTTTTTACTGCAGCAGGTTCAATTTCCGACATGGTAGTTTTAATTGCTTCCCATAAGTCTGCTTTGCAGTTATATTGTTTGCCACCTTCATGTAATTTCATCCTTACAATTGGCCATAGATTTTTGACTGGATTCATATAAGGACTTGATGGTGGCCATTCCATTATCTTCTTTCCCATAAATCTTTTATGTTCAAAGAATTCACAGGTAAGTTTAGACACATGAGAAGGAACATTTTCATGCATAAATACACACTTGAAACTGTGAGGTTGGAGCTTTTACTTGATTTTGTTAATATATTTTTTTTACTTCAGACGGTTTAATGTCTGACATGGTAGTTTTAATTCCTTCCCATAAGTCTGCTTTGCTGTTTTTTGTTCGACACCTTCATATAATTTCATCTTCACAATTGACCATAGATTTTCGATTGGATTCAGATCAGGGCAAAATGGTAGCCATTTCATTATCTTCTCTCCCATAAATATTTTATGCACGAAGAATTCATGGGCAAGCTTACATACATGAGAAGGAGCATTGTCGTGTATAAATATGCCCTTCACTTTGAAATTACGAGACTGGGACTCGTAGCATGGAAAGAAGGTCTTGTTCATCAAATCGCTATAATTAGTATTGTTGAGTTTGACATTTTTCTCAACTTTAAATGATCCAGTAATGGTTTTGTCAACAATTCCCGCCAATATCATAATACTGTCACCTCATTGTTGCCTTCATTTAGTCACATCATCAGGTCCATCAAATGTCACGCGAGATTCGCCCATGAAAATTACTTTAGAAAAATCAATTTTCATGTATTTCTTGGCCCAATTTTGATACCTTAAAATATTTGCTTTAGTGAGAGGAGGTTGCCTAGGATTTTTCTTTAGAGATCCGAATTCGCAAAGTACTCTATATCTTTTGTCCTACTTGATTCCGGCAGTTCCAGCCTTTTCAAAGATCTGAGAGCTGGTCAAAAGTAGTTGTTTCGCTATAACTCGAGAAAGGAAGTTCTCAAAGGCTTTTCGTTTGTTTTGAGTTCTCAACTTACTAATGTTTTCACCAGCTTTCTTTATCGCTCTGCAAAGCTCCTCTGATATCTTCTGTGTGGGCATTACACTACTCAATATCTTGGTCATTCTCCGTTTTTCAGCAGTTGTTAGATCATTCCCTTTACCCATGTTTCAACATGGATAAAAGGGAAAGGATCTAACAACATGGGCAAAAAGAAAAATAATTTTATTTGATTCCAGAGCTCTTGAAATAATATTAGTTTAAACTGCACCATAACTTCAATCAGTTCATTTTCGTAAATTCCAATATATCTAAAACTAACAATTAAAAATGTCAGAAAAATTAATTAAATATTTTACTAAGGGTGGAAATGGACGAGTTTAAATTTGACAAATATTTGTTCAGAGCTTTTTGAGTTACTGTGGTTTATTTGATTCGCATAATAACTTCAGAAAGGCTGTATATATATATATATATATATATATATATATATATATATATATTTATATATATATATATATGTGTGTGTGTGTATATATGGAAAAATATTGATATATATAAAATATATATATACAATATCTATTCACTAATATATACATAACATCTGTCTGTCTATCTATCTATCTATCTATCTATCTATCTATCTCTATATATATATATATTTATATAATCTATCTATCTATCTCTCTCTATATATATATATATTTATATAATCTATCTATCTATCTATCTCTTTCTCTTTCTCTCTCTCTCTATATATATATATATATACATATGCATATATTAGTGAATATACATAATATCCAACGTCATTATCACGACTTGTAGTTTCATGCAAACTTGCAATCTTCAGTGATACAGTGAAACATGCTGTCTGTGGATGATTACATATATAACCGAACGCTCCTCTGTGGCCCAGTCGGTTAAGGCACGTCAGGCTAAATGTCGGTTCCGTATAGGATACAGGTTCGATTACTGTCGGAGGACGAATATTTTCTGTGAAAATTTCTCGAACATTCTGGTCGGTAAATGTTGTTTAATACTGTTTAATATAAACAAAGCATTTACTTGAATATTTGTATCTATAAAAAGAATGTATAAACATAAAAATGTCTTAAATTAATTGTCGGACTTTGTCCATTTCATAATGTGTGACGTCATTTGTTTACATTTGATACGCCATGAGCAGACATGAATGTACGTGAGAGAATCATGGAAGATTGTAGTTTAAAGACAGTAAAATCGACCTTGCTAACCGAACGCTCCTCTGTGGCGAAATCGGTTAAAGGCACGTCAGGCTATATGAATGTGGTCCAGTCGGTTGAAGTACGTCAGGCTATATGACGGTTCTGTATAGGATACAGGTTTGATTCGTGTCGGAGGACGCATATTTTCTATGAAAATTTCTCGGATTTTCAGGCCGGTAAATTTTGTGTAATACTGTTTATTATAAACATAACATTTACTTAAATATTTGCATCTATAAAAAGAATGTATAAACATAAAAATGTCTTTATATATATATATATATATATATATATATATATGTGCTATATATATATATATATACACCTGTCCCTCTCTCTCTCTCTATATATATATATATATATATATATATATATATATATATATATATATCAAACCTCGTTGATCTGGCCTCCTTTTTTACTTTATATATTTCTCTCTCTCTCTCTCTCACTCTCTCTGTGTATATCCAGCTTTCTCTCTCTATATATTTGTGTCTCCTTCATTCTATCTGCTGGAAATTCTCTCGTCTATTTGTTCATTTTCATCTTATTCGTTAATACATCATCTCCTTTTTTTTGCTGAAAGTCTCTCTCTCTCTCTCTCTCTTTTCTCTCTCTCTCTCTCTCTCTTAATCTTAAAATGTTGCCATGATTTTCGCTGATGTTCGTGGACAAGTGCCTAGTGAATTTATTCACCAAAATGGAAGGACGTTTTATATTGTGTATGAAAACTATCAAATATCTCTTTGTTTTACACACATAGGCTGTCTCTTGTCATGGTTGACAATGTGGGTAACAGGTTTTTACTCTGACAGCGTGACACTGAGAGCGAGCGTGATGATAAGAGGGATAAATAAGGTGAAAGATATATATATATATATATATATATATATTATAAATTAATTGATTTAAAAAAATTTTTTTTCGCTACACAAGTGAGTGTAAGAAAACAAAGGTAAAAAGAGATAGATAGAGATAGATAGATAGATAGATAGAGAGAGAGAGAGAGAGAGAGAAAGAGAGAGAGGCACTGATAAAGAAAGTGTGACAATGTGAACGAGAGCGTGACAATGGAAATCAGAGATAAAGCTAGAGTGAGAGTGGACACATTACACTGAGGGTGAGAGAGAAGAGCATAGACAGGTAGAGAGGGAGAAAGAGAGAAAAAACGTAGCACTGAGAAAGAGAGATGTGGCACTGTGTATATGTGTGAGACAGAAAGACCCAAAGCCAGCGAGAAAGCATCACACACACACACACGCGCGCGCGCACACACATACACACACACAAAGAGGCGAGCACACACACACGGAGCACATATTATACTGAGAGTGAGAGTAGGATATAGACAAGTAGAGAAGAAATTAGAGAAAAAATGCATAGTACTGAGAGAGAGAAAACGTGGCACTGAGTTTGAAAGAGAGAGAGGGAGCACATATTATACTGAGAGTGAGAGTAGGATATAGACAGGTAGAGAAGGAGTGAGTGAAAAAAACGTGACACTGAGAGAGAGAGAGAGAGAGAGAGAGAGAGAAAAAAGAGAACGTGACACTGAGTTTGAAAGAGAGAGAGGGAGCACATATTATACTGAGAGTGAGAGTAGGATATAGACAGGTAGAGAAGGAGGAGTGAAAAAAACGTGACACTGAGAGAGAGAGAGAGAGAGAGAGAGAGAGAGAGAAAGAACGTGACACTGAGTTTGAAAGAGAGAGAGGGAACACATATTATACTGAGAGTGAGAGTAGGATATACAGGTAGAGAAGGAGGAGGAAAAAACGTGACACTGAGAGAGAGAGAGAGAGAAAAAAAAAAGAGAACGTGACACTGAGTTTGAAAAAGAGAGAGAGGAGCACATATTATACTGAGAGGAGAGTAGGATATAGACAGGTAGAGAAGGAGTGAGTGAAAAAACGTGACACTGAGAGAGAGAGAGAGAGAGAGAGAGAGAGAGAGAGAGAGAGAGAGAAAGAGAACGTGACACTGAGTTTGAAAGAGAGAGAGGGAGCACATATTATACTAAGAGTGAGAGTAGGACATAGACAGGTAGAGAAGGAGTGAGGAAAAAACGTGACACTGAGAGAGAGAGAGAGAGAGAGAGAGAGAAAGAGAACGTGACACTGAGTTTGAAAGAGAGAGAGGGAGCACATATTATACTGAGAGTGAGAGTAGGACATAGACAAGTAGAGATGGAGTGAGAGAAAAAAGCGTGACACTGAGAGAAAGAAAACGTGACAGAGAGAGAGAGAGAGAGAGAGAGAGAGAGAGAGAGAGAGATGTATCGTTTCCATCCATCTGGATCATAATCGATGGAGCGAACGTGTTGAAGCAGAGTGCAAAATTGAAGTGTTAGGAATCGTTATTTATAATGTATAGCTTAATTTTGGCACAGGGCCGCATCTATGGTGCTCCAAGTGAGGATCGAGGTTCGTACTAATGAGCTGAAAGTATTGTTTGCTAACTATTACACCACAGTGAGGCGGCGTTGGAAAAACGAGACGTTTGAGTCAATTTGGTGGGTAGGAAGAGAACTATTGAAGAAACGGGTAATGACAGCCGAATGCTTAGACGTACGCGCATGCGTGTGTCAGAGAGTGAAAAGAAGACTGTGTGTGTGTGAGAAAGAGAGAGCGAGAGAGAATGTGTGTGTGTGTGACTGAGAGAGAGAAAGAGAGAGAAAGAGAGAGAGAGAGAAAGAGTGAGTGAAATAGAAGATGAGATCATCCGGCGATACAACTGCTGGCTCAACATAAAACGACTGCTTTTAATTCTTCGCGTTACAACGATAATGACAGCGTTCATCACGACGACGATGGTAATGATCACTGCTGTGACTATGACTTCTAAAAAATACCGGGCAATTGGCAGGAGATGCGGTTTGTACCAAAAGAAAAACTTACAGTGAAAAAAAAAAAAAAATAAATAAATAAAAAGCAATGAGGAAAAGAAGACAAGTAGGTGGTTTGATAGGCAGGAGAAAAAGAAAAATGGAACAGAAATAATGCTACGATAAGATGAAAGACAAAAAGAGTAAAAATAAAATGAATCGATTTTGTTGTCCAGTTTACATTTCTGTCTAACCATTAACTACGATCAGAGTGTAGTATTAAAAAAAAAAAACAGATATAATATTAAGCGGGAAAAGATTGCAGAAAAAAAAACGCGGGAAAAGAAGGAAAAAAAGAAAGTTAAAAAAAAAGAAAGAAACAAAGAAAGAAAAATAGGAGCTCAGACAGCATCTAATTGTCTTGTCTTATAAAAATAAAATTAAGCTGAGTCTAAAGTAATTTCCGTTTTGAAGAAACCAATTGCAATGGCGGATGTATCGTTCTAATAACTAATCAAACGTGACAGTTAAGAATGAATTCAGAGAACACTAACATACCTTAGTTTTTAAACAACAATGGCAACCTATTTTCTTCTATTTCGCGTGTCCTGTCAGGAATTAGTCGATTATAGCTCTCCACAATTTCCTATCTTTTGTAGCCCTTTAAAAATGTTATCATTGTGTTATCTCTCCAAAACCTTGTTCCGTCATCCATTTACTCAAGCCCGCTAAGTAAGTTATGCTTTACTTTCCTCTGGCCCTTAACTTCAATCTGACCTGTGCGTATCAGATTTTCCAAGCACTTTTTCCTCATTATGTGCCCAAGAAATTTCAGCTGTCTTTTTCATGATTTTAAGTATCATTTCAGTTCTCATTTTTTCTAAAACTTCGTCGTTGCTCACATGTTCTGTTTTTGGCATCCTCAATATCGTTCTGTAGAACCACATTTCTGTTACTTCAAGTCTCTTCTTCATCCATGCAACGTATGCAGTAGATCTAAAGAAAAAAATGTTACTAGCATGGAAAGTGGTATTGTCGTTACCAGTTCAGGCTCTCGCCTATTTTGTTTTATCCACTTCGTGTTAATGTCCGTAAACTAAGGTATAAATCCGTCTTTAGCTATGAGTTAAATATTAGGATAGACTGGGATTATAAGATTTTGTAGGGGCAAGCAATTTTACAGGAGAATTCTAAACCATCCTGAAGAGCGTCCTGGGTAAGACGATAAACTACGTCCGACAGCAAGGCCTCTGATCGAAGGTTTTGAGGAGCGTAGAACTACCTCTTTATTGCTGGTGTTCCCAGGTCCACCCTGACCCGGTGTAGTAGCACCTGTTAGGGTCTCAACTATGGAGAAATAGTTAATTCCCAAACTGTGGTAAAAAAAATGAAAGTGTAAAAATAGGTTTTAATACCAACATTTTTGTAAAAAAAAAGAAAAAAAAAGATTACAAGCAATACATTTTTTAAGTAAGAAATATTATCAGTAATAAATTTTGAAGAAAAAATATTACCAGCAATATATTTTTGAAGGAAAAATATATATATATTAGCAGCAATACATTTCGAAAAAAAATATTACCAACAATAAAAATCTTGTCGGCGTTAAGTAAGTCACTGAGATTGATACACAAGGTCCATCCTGACTCGGTGTAGTAGCACCTGTTAGGGTCCCAACTATGGGGAAATAGTTTACCCCTAAACTGTGGTAAAAAAAAACAATGAAAATAGGATTTGATACCAGCAATACATGTTTGTAAAAATATAAAAAAATATTACAAGCAATACATTTTTAAGGAAAAAATATTACCAACAATATATTTTGGAAGAAAAAAATATTACCAGCAATATATTTTGGAAGAAAAAAATATTACCAGCAATATATTTTGGAAGAAAAAAATATTACCAACAATATATTTTGGAAGAAAAAAATATTACCAGCAATATATTTTGGAAGTGAAAAAAAATTACCAGCAGTACATTTTTGAAGGAAAAATATATATATCAGCAGCAATACATTTTGAAAAAAATATTACCAACAATAAAAATCTTGTCGGCATTAAGTAACTCACTGAGATTGATATGCCATAAAACAAAACAAACCAAACCATCTAAAAGAATGATGGACTCATCATTTTTCTTATCCTTGACACACACATCGTGCTATGGTTGTAATACATATAGCACTTCTTAAAATCTAAAATATTTTCTGGCTTTAAATAACCTGCAAATGGTTGATAAGTCATCAAATCAATCAATCTCAATCGCTATAAGATGTTCAGTCAAAAAATAATACCATTTCTTGTTACAATCGATAAAATGATAAAAGCACACATATAGGAAACTGATCACTAAGTTTTCAGGACTTCAGATCTATTCTTAAACATAGTTTTATTTACTGCTTAACCATAATTTTTTATATTTGAATAAGGCACATATATACTCGCTTCGTTGTATGACAACGCGAGGCCGTTTACAGCAAGAATAACGCAGGCAATAACTTTATATCATTTGGCCTGTTCTACTCAGTCCGCCATATTCATCAACTCGAGAATTTCTCAGTATCATTTCGTCGGTGTCATATATGCAGGGACAGAGATAAAACTGTCATTAATATATATGACTGGTTAGGAAAAGTCATCCACTGGGAATAAGGCAAACGAATTAGGATTCGACCATGCAAACCAGTAGTATGTGAACATACCAGTAGCTATCTTTTACTTTTTCCATTCTCTGAATGAATAGAAAAGGGAAAATTCTATTTGATTTGACATTCAAAGGGACTACTTAATGCAAGTTAGTAAACGAGATATAATTATCTTAAACAAGATAATTGGAGAACTTCATCATCATTTGGGAAACGCTATTTCTTTCACCGCTTCCCTCACTGACCGAGCAGCCAGTGCTACAATTTATAATTTATAAAATCTTTCTCGTAAAACATTTTTTCATCAAAGTAGATTGCTAAAGTCCACAAAATATTATTCATATTTCGAGTACTGATAAGGGCTTCATTCTTTGCATTTTGTATTTGGTAGTGTGGAAAATCAGCATCTTAATTATATCATTTTCTCTTCGAATTACAAGTGCTAACCATTTTAACTGCCGCTTCAAGTCCTCTCGTGATGTATGTTCTTTTATTTGGTACGAGCAGCCATATCCAGCTGGTTGATCAGAAAAAGCGTTCAATTAGAATGGAGCAAAAACAGCACCATGTTTATATGTAACAGAGTCTATTTTCTTCAATTACTTTAAAGTACTTTCATTAAAAAACATTTTGAATTAACGCAGTTACTGATATAACAGAAGTAGTCTGTATTTATTCAATCAAAGTTAGCCGAGGACATGAAGGGGTAAAACAGGCAACATGAAGACCAACTTCAGACCACAATTATTTAGGAGTTTTTGAAATTCAGTTTGTCAGTGTGCTACTCGGGATGTAAAAGAGGATACATTTATAAAGCAATTGTTAAGTTTAATGAAAATTGGTTGAAAGATCAACGAAAAATAAGAAAGAAACCAGTAAAAATCGACATTTTTCGCTATTTACGTTGGTTTTTACTATATGGTCCGGCTCAATTATCAAGTTAAATGACTGTTAAACAACCAACTTATTGTTGGCTACAACTGAGTGAAGTTTATATTAGATTGTTTAAAAATTGAGGGAGTTTTTAGTTTAAATTTTGTGTTGAAATCGATTTGTGTTGAAATCGATTTTTAGTTTTTCACGGTTTTCGCTAAACGCAGAAATAAAAATGAGGTATTGTTGAGCTCGTCATGATATAAGTAACCTACATAGTGAGTTTGAACGAAATTGGAGAAAAAAAAGTTGAATTTATCGATTTTTAATCGGCTTTATCGATTACTGATTTTTTAAAAATTGTGGATTTTTTTATGCTATCAACCTATCTCTTACATTGTACAATGTAATGCCAAGTTTGGTTAAAATCGGCTATTTGCATCTCGAGTGAAAAGGTATCACACAGACAGACACACGGACACACAAACATCCTCTGGTTTATATATATATATATATATATATATATATAGAGAGAGAGAGAGAGAGACAATTCTCTGCTTGTGATTCCATAGCGTCATTCCAAGAAGTTTGAAAAAGTATGGTCCTCACGAAGACCTTTAGGTACCGCCAAAGAAACGCTGTACCGAATGTTTAAAATGAAAAGTCTTTCTTGAAGCTTTTATTTTAGTTTTAATTTCAAGCTAATAGATTGAATTTAATATTTCCAATAACAAAAATACTTTGTTGCATTTCAAAAACTAATTTAGGTTAATTAGAAGGAGTTCTGTTTTTTTTTAATCGCCAATTATCGCTGATTTTAGACAACTGCCAACACAATATAATTCTCTTTATTAAAACAAAAATCTTTCAAAAATAAAATATACTTTTCTGAAACTTTATTTGCGGAATATTGGCTAATTTAAAGTTTAATGAATCTGATTTTAAACAAATGTTACTGATTTTAATTTAAAATAGCGCAGAAATGTATTTTTAACACGGGGGTAGGTATCTATTTAAGGTGTTGAAAGCTTAATTGACAACCTAACAGCTTTATTGACAAACTGAAATTTAACTCATTTTCTGTATGGGAACATATCTGTAAAAATCGACAAACATAACGTGAGCGCCTTTTTTTTTAATATATAATTTTTAACTACCCAGTAATTTAGAAAAAAAAAAAAGAAGAAAATATTCTCCGTAATTTAAATTTTTATTGAATTTTAGGTACTTTGGCTTTAAATTTACTATAGTTATCGCTTTTATAATCTCATGTACGGGACTACGTACTTTCAAAAATCGGCACGTTTATACGCAAAAGGATTCTACTTTGGGTTGCTGAATTGTACTAAGCTTTTTCATTTATGATTAGTAAATAGAGTTTTTACTTAATACCAATATCATCTAAATGATAAAGATTAATATAGAATTTAAAAAAAAACATTTAAAACTTTATAAATTATTCTAATTAAAATGGAAAAAAATATGAAAAAAATTCCTGTTTTATTCCTCGAAAAAGTTTCTTTTTCTTAAAGCAATAGTGTCCTTATTACATCTTATTTATAAAATCAATTAATTTTTTTTCTAATTGAATGATGTCTTGGCTTTATTGTATTTTTATTAAATTGATGATTTAAATTCTCCAAAGATTTCTGCTTATAACATAAACATTCATTCGTACAAAAATGAATTACACAAAATTTCATACAATTATATAAGTGTAGGAGAGGGACGAATTAGATTTCAACCGTTTCTTTCCTGGTTTTAAGTATGAGTGTCCTTTTTGTTCCCTTTTTGTAGATTTAAAGAATACTATTGTTATTGGCATGAAAAGTAGAATCAGCGTACCGAGTTCAAGCTCTGGCAGATTGTTTCGTTCACTTCGCGTTAATGTCTATAAACTAAGATATAAAATCATCATTAGCTATGAGTTAAATACTAGGGTAGCCTGGCCATTATGGACATTACAGAGCAAACAATCTAATAGGAGAATTCGAAATCACCTTAAAGAGGGATGGATCCTTTTAAGTTGACACACACAACGTACGATAGTTGTAATACATATGGTAGCTTGGGCCACCTCGGTGTGGTGTGACGGTTAACAAGCTTGTCTTGCAAAATCAGTTACGACTGAAAAAGTGAGTTAGATCCTAACTATGTGCCCCATACTTTCGGCCTTGTGCCACATCTATGCTACACTTAGAAAATCATTTTGGGCATTTTGACGTGGTGTAATGGTTAACAAGCTTGTCTCGCTAAAACAATTACGACTGAGTAGTGAGTTCGATCCTCCCTGAGTGCCCCTTATTTCGGCCTTGTGCCACATATAAGCTACGCTTGGAAAATCACGACATATGGTAGCTCTACGAGTCTAATGCCTTACAGGAATCCTAATGTGCAATAAAACAATAATAATTATACTAATTTGCAACAGTACTTTATTAGTTGAATTTTTTTTCAAAATCTACTAAAATCAAGTTATTAAATGTTACTAAAATGTTTCATCTTTATTTAATAAAGGATAAAAATTAATTTAGTGCAGTTACTATTCTGAATTCCGCAGAGATTTTTTCATGGATTATTTATTCTAGACTTAAACTAATTCCACGGTTTTTTTTCTTATTTTTTCACTAATTTAAAAGTTGGTCTCAAAATAATATCTGTCTGTAATTGATTGATTAATTTTCTACGACTTATCAACCCAATGCAGGTTATTTAAAAGCCAGAAAATATTTTTGATTGTAAGAAAGTTTTGGGATATAATAATTATTTAGTGACACAAGTAACCTATAGCTGTGGGAAGAAGAGGTGAATTCATAGCTTTTCCCAAAGGTATTTGCGCCTAAGTGAATATAACGAACCCAAGTGATATTGAAACTCGGTCTTTCGCTTAGTAATTCCTAGCCATTATCCATTACACCACCTGTACATCCAAGCATGGAGCACAGGGTATTCCTAAGCAGTCACCCATCTAGGTACTTACCAGGCTCGACGTTGCTTAACTTCAGTGATCGTACCGGAAGTTATAGCGATTAAGAAGGAAGTTTCCAATTTTGAGGATTACAATTGGAATCCTGAAATTGTTATATTAATTGCGTGTTTCTATTGTTCGATCGGTTATAATTAACACAGATATTGGGATACGATCACCGAAGTTAAGCAACGTCGAGCCTGGTCAGTACCTAGATGGTTGACAGTTTCGGAATGCTAGATGCTGTATGCGTGGATGTGCGGTTGATGTAATGGATAACGTATCGGAATTAGAATTTGGAGATCCGAGTTCAATTTCCAGTGAAATTCATTATATTCGATAATGCGCAAATACCCTTCTGAAAGGTATGACTTCACCTTTTCTCCATCCCTCATCTATGGGTTAATTAGTAGAACTTGTAACAGTAAATCATTATTATCTCCAAAATATTCTTACAATCTAAAAATATTTTCTGGATTTAAATATGCTGCAAGGGGTTGATAAGCCGTAAAATAAATCAATCAGTTAATCCCAATCGCTATAATTTCAGTCAAAAAGTAATACCACTTCGTGAATTACAATAGAGTTAATGATAAAAGCACACAATTGACTGCAATTCTATTCCCCAAAATTGTTCACTGCTTAACCATAATCTTTGATCTTTGAATAAGGGCATATATGCTCTCCTCGTAGAACCTGCTTTCTTAAACATGTGCGAATTTTATGTTTCACCTCGTCATCATTGGGAAACCACTGTTCTCTAAATGCCTTTTTCTAGGGGTCAACCAGATGAAAATCTCAGAATCTCGGGTCAAAATTGCTGGGTAGATGAGGCAAAGTTGTCCAGCTTTTGAGCTGTGAGTGCTTGTCTGGTTGTTAAGTTGTTGTGAGGCCTTGCATTGTCATGTTGAAAAAAAGGACATAATTCTTTTTAAATTTAGCCTGAATCAACGGTGACAGTTACAGCCTTCCATCAGCTATTCTTGCTACATATATGACATCGCAGATCGTGGGATAAGTATTTCTATAATAAAGAAAAAAAAGCAAAGAAGAATGTGTCATCTGTCTGGATCGTCATCTTGATTCATCAGTGACACCACTATTCACATTGACACACCAGATATCAAAGCAAAATTTACCATTACTGTAAAATTCTGTTAACGCGTGACTTTTGACGCGTTAGTGTATATAGGTAAAACTGCAGTTGCAAAATTACTTAAATAGGATCATTTTATAACGAGCAATCTTGTGTAGCAAGTATTGCTTCAAGGACATCTATGTAGTTAGTTTCTTTTTTAAATATCCAGAAGAAAATTGATAATTATAAGCTTGTTTTCAGTTAAATATGGACAGAATGTAGGCATTAAGATTGTTTATTCTGTATTGCTTTATGTCGAATTAATTGGCCAAAAATTACGATACTTTTTGTTCTCCATACAAATATGACGACGAAATTCTTTTCAAAACAGAAAGGACCAGAATGAACTGCCATATTTCTCAGTCTTCAAAATGTTCGTTGTCGTAGCAAATTATATATATATATATATATATATATATATATATATATATATATATATATATATATATATGTCTGTCACCTCTGAGTATTGGCATCAATGTTCACTTTTATATTTACATACGCTCTATATTTGATATCGAGCACTTTATCCAATAAATATAGCACACATTAAAACTGTATTTCTTCATCTATCTATCTATCTATCTATCTATCTATCTATCTATCTATCTTTCTATTTATATATATATATATATATATATATATATATATATATATATATATATATATGGGGGGAGGGAGTGTAAATCATTTCACCCCAAGAAAGACAATAAAGCCACTAAGATGTAAAGGGTGACTGAGAGAATATGAGTAAAATAAACAACAAAGCAAATACTATTAATGAGAGAGAACGATAAAAGAACACGAATTAAGAAGACGGAATATGACAATTGACATTGCGTTTAAATTTTTGAAGCACAAAGTTTACTGGGAATCAAGAAGCCGGAAGAAAATTTAACAAGCGAGAAATGTGAGAGAAGAATCTATTAGCATAGAACTTATGGTTACATCTAACAATTTCAACTGTAAAATGATGAGACCTTGCCGCCAATCCAGTACTGCGCTTAATTTCATAAAGACAATGTACCAAACAGAAAAGTTCATCAGAATAATTATCATGAAAGTATGTACAGAAAATATACAAGGAAACTACATTACAGCGCTCGGAAAGTGACTGGAGCCGAGATGTCAGATCAGGGCGAATAATATTGCCGATTCTTTTTTTTTTAAATTAAATGGCATTCTATTGTTCAATTCATCGTCAATCAATGCTTGCTAGCTAGTGGAGGTATCTTGGATAATTTTGTTTATAGAGAGGTGATTTTTAAATAAAACTTGTACAAGATGGCTAGTGAAGCGAGATCGATCCTGACCAGTTGCGACACAATTTTCTGCATGGAACAAATTTATCTGAATTTATACGATATATATATATGGTATCAAATGACAACTGGAAAAAAAATCTTACATTCCATTTTTGCTTTGAAAAAGTCGGAAGACGAAACGCGTCGGTAAAATGTAAGATTTTTTCCAATTGTCATTTGATACCAATCTGTTTGTCCAGATAATTCACATGGGAATTTAACTATATATATATATATATATATATATATATATATATATATATATATATATATATGTGTGTGTGTGTGTGTGTCATACAATAGAGATTACATAGGTGATGATCATTATGACCTTGTAAATTGTGATAATTTACAAGGATTTTCAAACCAGTCAAGGATGATAAATTATTGAAATAAAAATGGCCAGACAGATCCTTGTAAATTATCTCAATTTACAAGGTGATAATGATCATCACCTATATTTAATCTTAATTCCTATTGTAGGAAATATATTGTTCTGTTTAATTAAAACATTGAGCTCTCCGTGTGAATCAGTTTTAATATTTTATATTGTATTAATAGTATTCATTTGGATTATGTACTAACGGATTATTACTTATATATATATATATATATATATATATATATATATATATATATATATCCAAGTATAGGATTGGTGCATACGGAATAAAAACCAACAAAAACAATTCTTAAAAGAGTGCTCAATACAAAGTAGAGCAAATATAATTATTTATTCGATAATTATAACATAAAAATGTTATAAAATCACTACAAAATAGCCATTTGTTTCAACACTTCTGGTGTCTTTTCAAGTGATGGTGTTGAATGTAGAACAACATGGAGATTATATATTCAACACCATCACTTGAGAAAACACCAGAAGTGTTGAAACAAAATGTTTTTTTGTCGTGATTTTATAACATTTATGTTATAATTTTCGAATAAATGATTATATATATATATATATGTATATATGTATATATATATATATATATATATATATATATATATATATAATCGACTCTCCCGTCGCGTTCGACGTATGAGGGTCAGGCCGGTAAGTCCCCAGGAAACCGACATCCCGACACCAGCACATGCGATTTGATTATAGTGGTGAAGGCCTCGTGCAGGACCAGCCACACTTTTTGGAGGGACGAATACAGAAACCTGGTGCACCGAATGCCACAAGGTTCCCAAACGACCCTCCGCAGGTTTTGAATTCAGAGTTGTCCTTCTCCTAGACCAGTTGCCATCCAAGGCTATAGAACCCAGTCTGTCCTGCTATTTTACCCATAGCTGGAGGGAGATGAAGAGGATTCATACCTTTCCCAAGGGTATTAGCACGTAAGTGAATGTAATGGATTCGACTGGATTCGAACTCGGCTCTGCGATTCCTCAATATATATATATATATATATATATATATATATATATATATATATATATATATATATATATTGAGCTAAAAAAAGTTCTCGCAGTGGAACTGACTTATTTATTATTAGGAAAGTAGAGGAAATGATGGCGATTCAACTGAAAGTGAAGGTGCCTGGCGTGTCTTAGATATGACGTCATGACCCGGTGAAGACTGAGAATTTCCCATATAAATAACGATCAAGTAGCGAAATTGGAATCAAGACTTACGAGTCTTTAAGAATGTCGCGAATTCAATCTTACCTCGGCGACAGAATACCTTGGACTTGTACCACACTAAGTTTAGTAGATATAATATAAATTTGATATAAATATTCCATCCTGCTATGTAGATTTTACAAGGGATATGATATATAAATCCGGATGTGCTTAGAACAGGGATTAGACCTTACAGAAATTAAACAAAGTATTAGGAAACAGGAACATTTCGTTGGAAAGAAAGATGAAAGTGATCGTTTGTTATGTAATATCGGTCCTACTATATAGCAGTTATATGGGCACTTTCTGACCATGAGACGCGGGATCAAATCTCACCATAGTCAATTTGTCATGAAGGTGACTTTTTGATGTTATCGGTTTGGGAGAAGCGATCCGAGCCTGTGACACATTTGGAAAGTAACTATAAATCATACCCAAGCCTTGTGATTGAAATTGGTTAGACGGAACCCTTTAGGAGACGTTAATAGTTGTGCTAGCAGAAAGTCACAAGTCATCGTGACCGAGAGTTTGAGTGGGCTGACTTTGTTCAGACTGCTGATTACGTTAGATACAACACTCTCTCCCAGAAACTGTAACTAAGGTCGGCTCTGTGAGATTTGAACAAACAAATATTCCTCAGCAGGCTCAAGAACTTTTTTTAAATATTGAAAGTGAATGACGGAAAATTTTCTCATAGATATTGAGAAGATTTGAGTCAACAAGGATGTAGTTCGGTAGGATGTTGAGAATAGCAGGAAATGAATATGTGAGTACACAGAAGAAAAGGAGACTTCTACGTAGAATGAGAAAGTGACAGTCGAAATTTCCAGAACATGAGGAAAAAAAATGGCGTGAAGGGTTTGGTGTTTACAGGGTAGATTGAAAGCAAAGGGGGCAGAGAAAAACAATGGGTAACGAATATAACAGGGATTCCGAGGGATAATAAGGAGTAGACATTGTTTCGAGCTGAAAA